TACTTTCAAGGTGCTAAACTTCCCTCAGGATAAAATGCTCAAGAAAAATATAAAACATGTAAAAATGCATTAAAAATATTATAAAAATAGAGATCCATTATACTCCCATAAAAGCAATTGATAATATTATAAACCTTCAGTGCAATAATCCCCAATCACCCTTATGTAAAGAAATGATATAGAATGATTGTAATCTTGATAAACATGTAGAGATTTTAAGAAGATGGTAGATCCCAATGCTTTTTGCCAGATGAGCTTCTTCACGGGTTCAAATATAAGGGACTGAACTGTGAATACAGAGGAAATCATGAAAGGTATATACATAAATAGATCATCATTATATGTAAATACACTATATTGCCAAAGGTATTGAGCCAGTCCTCCAAATCATTGGATTCAGGTGTTCCAATCCCCTCCCAATCATGTGATTCAGGTGTTCCAATCCCCTCCATATCATGTGATTCAGGTGTTCCAATCCCCTCCATGGACACAGGTGTATACAATCAAGCCCCTAGGCATGCAGACGGCTTCTACAAACATTGGTGAAATAATGGGTCGCTCTCAGGAGCTCAGTGACTCCAAGCGTGGTCCCGTGATAGGTGGCCACCTGGGCAATAAGTCCATCCGTGACATTTCCTGGCTACTAAATATTCCACGCTCAACTGTTAGTGGGATTATAACAAAGTGGAAGCCACTGGGAACAACAACCACTCAGCCACCAAGTGGTAGGCCACGTCACATGACAGGGCGGGGTCAGCACATGCTGAAGTGCACAGTGTGCAGAAGTCGCCAACTGTCTGCAGAGTCAATAGCTAAAGACCTCCAAACTTGGTGTGGCCTTCAGATGAACCCAACAACAGTGCGTAGAGAGCTTCATGGAATGGGTTTCCATGGCCGAGCAGCTGCATCCAAGCCTATACTTCACCAAGTGTAATGCAAAGCGTTGGATGCTGTGGTGTAAAGCACGCTGCCACTGGACTCTAGAGCAGTGAAGATGTGTTCTCTGGAGTGACCAATCACGCTTATATGTCTGGAAATCATGCCAAGTGTCAAGTTTGGTGGAGGGGTATTATGGTGTGGGTTTGATTTTCAGGGGTTGTGCATGGCCCCCTAGTTCCAGTGAAGAGAACTCTTAAGGTGACATTTTGCACAATTTCATGCTCCCAACTTTGTGGGAGGAGTTTGGGGATGGCCCCTTTCTGTTCCAACATGACTGCCCACCAGTGCACAAAGCAAGGTCCATAAAGACATGGAGGAGCCAGTTTGGGGTGGAGGAACTTGACTGGCCTGCACAAAGTCCTGACCTCAACCCCATAGAACACCTTTGGGTTGAATTAGAGCGGAGACTGCGAGCCAGGCCTCCTCCCCCGACATCAGTGCCTGACCTGACAAATGTGCTTCTGGAAGAATGGTCCAACCTTCCCATAGACACCCTCCTAAACCTTGTGGACGGCCTTCCCAGAAGAGTTGAAGCTGTTATAGCTGCAAAGGGCGGGGCCAACTCAATATTGAACCCTACGGACTAAGATTGGGAGGCCATTAATGGTCACATGCGTGGAAAGGGCGGGGCCAACTCAATATTGAACCCTACGGACTAAGATTGGGAGGCCATTAATGGTCACATGCGTGGAAAGGGTGGGGCCAACTCAATATTGAACCCTACGGACTAAGACTGGGATGCCAGGTTCATGTGTGTGGTAAGGCAGGCAGCCCAATACTTTTGACAATATAGTGTATATGTACATAAATCCCCGGAGAAACACATTGGAATTTACCATCTTCCTAAAATCTCAACATGTCATTCTATATAATTTCTTTACATAAGGAAGGTAAATTGAGTTTTACTAGGTTTAAAGGGTTTTGATATTATCAATCACTTTTGTGTGAATATAATGGATGTTTTTATAATATTTGTGATAAAATGTTGTATTTTATATATTGGTTTGTTTGAATATATTATCCTGAGGGAATGTTAGCACCACGAAAGTCCTACATATCTTTTCTTCTTCAATTTTGCCTTTTCTACTTCTCATGCTGCCAAACACCTCCCCTGGGAAAAGTGACATAGAAGTGAATGAAAGGAATCACTGAGCGTAATGTAACATCACAGACATCAATACAAAATGATAGAACAATTTATCCCCCTAAAAATGTTTAGTACAGAGATGAGATTTTCATTGTCTTCATTTATAAGTATTACTGGGAAGTGGGACACCAGATGTAACTGATCAGAAGGTTAAATATCAGCTTCTTTGGTTCTGCATAAAATCTCTTTGAAAAATATTCAAAAGTATGATATGCTAATGAATATGTTCTTTTACACTTTGACAAAAATTCACCAAAAGGGCCATAAGTAGGAGAAGAGGCTGGTGAATGGGCCATGTGGCTCCAAGACTAGGCTGTGCAAAAAAAGTGAGCCTCCAATATGTTTCACAATAATGGCGTCATCAGATGGGTAAATATGTGAAAGAATCAGCCCCATATTAAGAATGCTCATTTGGGAGTAGGGGTGGATTTACTGAAGGCAATACAATGTTTGTGATGCAAATAAAATCTCATTCTGCTAGGGAGTTTTCCCCAAAGCTTGGTGAATGAAGCTCTTGCAAAGAACACCAACACATGTGCAAGGGAAATAAAAAAACACTTTAGTTTGCATAAAATTAAATGATGGAATCAGCCAAGATTAACTTGACTCACTAAGCTCTGGGAAATCCTTTGCAGAGAACAATTGGACTTGTAAAGTGAAGAGTCTATTTGCCTTAGTAAATCAACCACTATCCCAGGGGCGGACTGACCATTGGGGAACTTGGGAACCGCCCGAGGGCCCGGGGTCAGTAGGGGGCCCATGAGATGTCCCTGGTAGCTTTCATAGGCTTTTTTGGGTGTGATTTGAGTGTGGGCGAGGACACAGGGGCCCCATGATCCCCTATTGCCCGGGGGCCCCATGAGTTGTCCAGGAATCAGCATTTTTTTATTTATTTATTTTTTTATATCTGTGTCCCTACTGTGTACATTCCCCTTCTCAACCTGTCCTGGTAAACATTTTAAATAGAACAGGAGGAGAAGAAAATCTTCCAATGGAGACATCTATTCCAGTGACAACCGTCTAAGAGAGGACTTTTGCTCTCCGTGGAGAGATTTTTTTACTCACATCCTATTGTGTCTTTGAGACAAGAAATGTAAGAAAATCTTATAAAAAAAACAAATAAATACTTAAGAACCTGATAGGGGTTTTAACCACCTTCCGCCCGCCATATAGTACAATGATGGGCGCAAGGTGGTTCTCTCGTTCTGATAGGACGTCATATGACGTCCTTCCATTCTCACCGCGCATGCGCGGCTCAGGGAGCACGCAGCACAGCGATCACTGGTGCGCTGTGTCCCTCGGACACAGCGGATCACGGAAAGAGCCGAAGATGTCGGCTCGGTCATGTGATCAGCTGTGTCCAATCACAGCTGATCACATGTAAACACGGAAATGCCGGTTATCGGCATTTCTCTCCTCTCGAGCTGTCACGCTGACAGCTCGAGAGGAGAGCCGGTAATCGGCTTTCCGCGGAGGGGACATGTACACTGATCATCAGGGCACTGATGATCAGTGTGCCCTGATGATCAGTGTGGCCTCAGAAGTGCCACCTGTCAGTGTCCACCAGTGACAGCAGTCAGTGCTCATCAGTGCCACCTGCCAGTGCCCATCAGTGCCACATCAATGCCACATATCAGTGCATACTAGTGCACATCAATGCCACATATCAGTGCCCATCTGAGCTGCCTTTCAATGTCACCCAGCAGTGCCAGTCAGTGCCACCTATCAATGCCAATCAGTGCCACCTATCAGTGCTGCCAATGAGTGCCACATATCAGTGCAAGTCAGTGTCACCTATCAGTGTGCATCAGTGCCGCCTATCAGTGCCAGTCAGTGCCACCTATCAGTGCAAGTCAGTGCCACCTAACAGTGCCAGTCAGTGCCACCTAACAGTGCCAGTCAGTGCCACTTAACAGTGCCAGTCAGTGCCGCCTATCAGTGCCAGTCAGTGCTGCCTATCAGTGCCACCTATCAATGCCATATATCAGTGTCATGTATCAGTGCTGCCTTTCAGTGCCCGTCATTGATGCCTGTCAATGCCCATCATTGCAACCTACCAGTGCCTCCTCATCAGTGGCCATCAGTGCCACCTATCAGTGTCCATCAGTGCAGCCTATCAGTGCCCATCACTGAAACCTCATTAGCGCACATCAGTGAAGGAGAAAAATCACTTAATTACAAAATTGTATAACAAAAACTAAGAAAAAACTTTTTTTTTCAAAATTTTCAGTGGTTTTTGGTTTGTTTAAGAAAAAAAAAAATCCTAGAGGTGATTAAATACCACCAAAAGAAAGCTCTATCTGTCTCAAAAAATGATAAAAAATTTCATATGGGTACAGTGTTGCATGACCGCGCAATTGTCATTCAAAGTGTGACAGCGCTGAAAGCTGGAAACTGGCCTGGGCAGGAAGGGGGTATAAGTGCCCTGTAGGCTAGTGGTTAACAAATCCATATTCTAAACAAAATAACAGAAAAAAGTTTTGATTAGAGATACACATTAAAATAAACAGCTTTCAAATGGATTTCCTATATAAGTCATAAAAAGATACTTCTTTTTCTATTCATATCTATTCTATTCATATCTCTATTTTAGTGAGATCTTCCTGAAAACACGTTTAAATGCCACTATAAAGTCCTGGTTCCTCAGACTATAAATGAGAGGATTGAGGAGAGGAAGGATCACCGTGTAAAACACGGACACCACTTTGTCACCAGAAAAATGATGACTAGAACTTGGCCAAAAATAATTAAACATAACAGATCCATAATACACAAACACCACTGTCAAGTGAGAGGAACAAGTAGAGAAAACTTTAGTTCTTTTGCCCTTAGCTTGAATTTTAAGAACTGTTTTGAATATATAGACATAGGAGAGGACGGTCAATATTAGAGACCCACCTCCAAGGAAACCAACTGAGAGAAAAATGAGCAGAATGCTGATGAACATGTCACTGCAGGAGAGCCGAAACAATTGTGGAAGATCACAGAGGAAACTTTCTATAATATTTGATTTGCAAAATGTTAAACTGAAGGCAGAAAGAGTGTGAATTAAAGAATTGGTAAAGCTGAGACAACATACAATGGACACCAACTGTATACACACTTTCCAAAGCATGACCTGTGTGTAATGTAATGGCTGACAAATGGCGATATATCGATCGTAGGACATGACAGCCAACAGAAAAGCCTCACAACCCATGAAAAATATAAAGAAGAAGACTTGGGTTATACAAGCCCTTATAGAAATTTTTCTTGTTTTGGTGTGAAGGTCAAATAACATTCGTGGGACGGTGACTGAGGAATAACAGAGGTCCAAACCGGCCAGGTTCCCAAGGAAGAAATACATAGGAACATGGAGGTGAGAGTCGGTGACTATGAGGACGATGATCAGCAAATTCCAGATTGATGTCAGAAGGTAGATGAGAAGGAAGAACAGAAAAAGAGGAAACTGGAGACCTGGAACATCAGACAGGCCAGAGAAAAATAATTCGTTCAAAATTGTCTGATTTCCCATTCCAAATTCAAATTTTTATTTGATAAAAAATTAAATATATTATTTAGGATAAAAATCCAATATACTACAAAATTAACAAACTTAGATAAGGTAATTGTATTTTTTTATATTTATTAAAACAATATAGTAAATCTATTAATCAAATATAATTTTCAGCATCAGATTTATCAGCTTTGTACATAAATACAATGTGACTCTTCACCTGCCCTGTATCTACTAAAACAAAAGACATGTTACCTGAACTGAGAGCAAATCCATCAATCAATGATCAGTGTCATGGATTATGGAAGAGTTTAGTTGTAATCTATACAGACATAAATGCAAAATCAACTTTCAAACCCAGGAAACAACCAGATGAGATATAAAAATTGCACAAAAACAGAAAATTATGTCAACAACATAATTTGAATCAGCTTGTACTTAGAATAACTGAAAATAATGGACGCCAAATAAATCAATGGGATCAGAGTTTCATGTATTGTGAAATACTTCAGCTGTAAGAAAAAAAAGTATTCTTCATCTATATTTTATACAGACATTTGTGCAAAACAATTAAAAAAGGACACAGCAATAAATAATGAAGGAAATAAATATCTGTGAATGTCCAGACTGGTAAAATGGACAATCTCCTTTGAATTTTGGCCTCTAGCTCAGATTTTGTCAGTGATCCTGAGACATTTTGTTGAAGGGAGTTAATTGAAAACAGCAGAAAATCGATGTGACATTTCTGGTCACAATACAATTTCATCCTCCACACATCCATGTATTTATAATACAGAAATCCCCCTGACATCTCCGGAGCACACAGGGGTGTCGATTGGCTCTGTGTTCTTCAGAGATTAATTTAAACCATGAATCCTCTGGAAGATAAATCTCTACAGAAATCTTGTTTTATTCCTCAGCGCGACACACGTTTTGGCTCTTTAGAAATAAATAATTGCTTTTAGATTTTCCAGACTTTACCCTTTCATCTCTTATTTTACTAATAGATGTTTCTCCATTTTATAAAAGTTTGAAATGGGAAGTTGTGATGCTGGAAAGAATCAACCATAAAATGGGGAATAATGGTCAGGCTATGACATTGCTAACTTCTTTGAGGAATCTCGGGTTCACATTCAGTTTTTTTAGTCCTTTAACCTCCCTGGCAGTCTGATTATGTCCATATTTCTGTGCTCAAAGCGGTACCATTTTTTTGCATGGAAATATGTAGTTTTTTTATTGTAGGCTGTAATTTTTAGAAATAACTCCCTGAAATCTGTCCGAACAAGAGTCTAGTAAACATCCCGGGGATGATAAAATGTGAAACACGAAATCATAAATTATAATTTAATAAACAATCATAAAAAATAATAATATAATAATAATAAATGTAATTCAATAATATAATCAAACCAAAAACACTGAAATGTGAAATAGAGCGCCAAGTTCGCACATCGCTGAGCTCAGTCGCAGAATCGTTTTCAGTGTCTGATGATGAATTTCCCCCACCAATCATTATCACTCAATTCTGCAAGTGGTTCTGATTTACTATCGCTGTTCTCTAGCCGCTCTAAAACCGCGTCTGACCTAAAGGGACGCTTTTTGGACGCCATGGACGTTTCTCAGTTTCCAGGCAGAAAGAACAGTAAAAATGCAGGCAGGGCGCCGGACAAAGCACTCGGGACAAAATGTATGTGAAATGGTTTGATACAGGAATGTTTTACTATGTAAAAATTTTTTTGAAAAAAATAAAAAATTTTTTAAATTTTCAAATTTCCCGCTGGCGCCCGTACGTCCCGTCACAGGGACCGGAACACAGAAGCCGGATGCCGGCATCGGCCGGAGGAGATGGCCGGGGACGCTGCAGGGGACACATCGCGGGAGCGAAGGACAAGGTAAGCGTTGCAGGGACTCCCTATGCAGCGCCGCATGGTAAGCCTGAGTGTAGCTCGGGGGGGGTTACCGCTCTTGGTACAGAAACTTTACCCCGAGCTACACTCAGGAATACCGCCAGGGAGGTTAAGAACACTGGCTTCTGTTGGCCACACAGGAACATTTGCTGCTGTTTTACGAACAGTACCATCTGTTGTGACCAACTTCCCCTGATTACCCTTTATGGGACCCATGTGTTTTGGCTTTTCCTTTTTACTATTAATATATTACATTTTTTTGAGGGCATTCTTTTTACTCTCCTCTGCTATGTGTCTGTCATGGTCTATTTTCGTGGCCCTGATTGCTCTCCTACATGTCTTATTGCATTCTTTGTAGTGTTGGAATACTGGTGATATCCCATTGGCCTTTTATTTTTTTTACAGGACATTTTTTCTCTTTAATATGTCTTTTTATGCTACAAATTAGCCATCCATGTTAAACTTTAGTTCTTTTACATTTGTTGACCAAAGGAATACACTTGTTGATGCCATTAATTATTATTTTCTTAAATCTTCCCACTTTTCCTCCAGTTTATGATTTCTAGAATATCCTCTCATGTAATGTAGCAAAGTATGGAGATCTTAAAGCATAGAAAATCAGAGCGTGAATGTCGAGAATAAAAAATAATAATGCGCATGACCAGCAGACATTATAAACAGTTTAATGGAGCAATAAAAGCAAGAATCACCATAAGGATGTATCCATGAATGGATGTCATACAGGGATCAGGACTGCGACAAAGCACTATATTGTGCAAAATGCGTCATCATGGTAACCGGGACTTGTTGCCATTGGTCTCCTTCCTACTGGGGATCTCCGATGGTTGTTCCTGGCTTCCTTGTGTTCCACTGAGGTCACTTCCGGTGCGCTGTGACGTCACTTCTGGTGTGCGATCTCTGGCTACCGAGGAGGTCCATCCTGTTCCTCTCATCCCTCTTCTGGGGTTTTCTTCAGACCGCTGGCCTTGGAAGCCTGTACACCATCTATTGTGGCTCTCTCACCTCCCATCTATAGAGCTCACCATCCAGGCTCTCCAACAGTAAGCCGCTCCCATCATTCCTTCAGTCTATGGTTTGTACTTATCCCTCTATGACATCCATTCATGGATACATCCTTATGGTGATTCTTGCTTTTTTTTGCTCCATTAAACTGTTTTATATTGTCTGCTGGTCATGCACATTATTGTTTTTTATTATGGACATCCGCCATGAGCGCTCTGATTTTTTATGCTTTTCTTTTGACTACATGTTTCCAATGGTCATTGGAGCAGCTGTGGGATTGCCTGTCTCTCCTTCACTCTTGTTCACCAGTGTTGATTGAGGGCATTAGCACCGAGCCATGATTTAGTTCAAGCCGTGATTTGGCATCATTGTGATGCTTATGGCTTACAGCTCATGAAAACCCCAAATCCACAATCTCGGAAAATGAGAATCTTGTAAAAAAGTTGCAATATTCTCGGCTCAAAGTGTCCCACTCTAATCAGCTCATTCAGCCATAACACCTGCAAAGGGTTCCTGAGCCTGTAAATAGTCTCTCAGTCGGGTTCAGTAGGAATCACAATCATGGGAAAGACTGCTGACCTGACACCATCACTGACACCCTCCATAAGGAGGGAAAGCCTCAAAAGGTCATTGCAAAAGAAATTGGATGTTCCCAAAGTGCTGTATCAAAGCACATTAATAGAAAGTTATGTGGAAGGGAAAAGTGTGGAAGAAAAAGGTGCACAAGCAGCAGGGATGACCGCAGCCTGGAGAGGATTGTCAGGAAAAGGCCATTCAAAAGTGTTGGGGACTTTCACAAGGAGTGGACTGAGGCTGGAGTCAGTGCATCAAGAGCCACCACACACAGACAGATCCTGGACATGGGCTTCAAATGTCGTATTCCTCTTGTCAAGCCGCTCCTGAACAACAAACAACGTCAGAAGCGTCTTACCTGGGCTAAAGAAAAACAGACCTGGTCTGCTGCTCAGTGGTCCAAAGTCCTCTTTTCTGATGAGAGCAACTTTTGCATCTCATTTGGAAACCAAGGACCCCGAGTATGGAGGAAGAACGGAGAGGCCCAAGGACCCCGAGTATGGAGGAAGAATGGAGAGGCCCAAGGAGCCCGAGTATGGAGGAAGAATGGAGAGGCCCAAGGAGCCCGAGTATGGAGGAAGAATGGAGAGGCCCAAGGACCCCGAGTATGGAGAAAGAATGGAGAGGCCCAAGGACCCCGAGTATGGAGGAAGAATGGAGAGGCACAAGGAGCCCGAGTATGGAGGAAGAATGGAGAGGCCCAAGGAGCCCGAGTATGGAGGAAGAATGGAGAGGCCCAAGGAGCCCGAGTATGGAGGAAGAATGGAGAGGCACAAGGACCCCGAGTATGGAGGAAGAATGGAGAGGCACAAGGACCCCGAGTATGGAGGAAGAATGGAGAGGCACAAGGACCCTGAGTTTGGAGGAAGAACGGAGAGGCACAAGGACCCCGAGTATGGAGGAAGAATGGAGAGGCACAAGGACCCCGAGTATGGAGGAAGAATGGAGAGGCCCAAGGACCCCGAGTATGGAGGAAGAATGGAGAGGCACAAGGAGCCCGAGTATGGAGGAAGAATGGAGAGGCACAAGGACCCCGAGTATGGAATAAGAATGGAGAGGCACAAGGAGCCCGAGTATGGAGGAAGAATGGAGAGGCCCAAGGGCCCCAAGTATGGGGGAAGAATGGAGAGGCCCAAGGGCCCCGAGTATGGGGGAAGAATGGAGAGGCCCAAGGGCCCCGAGTATGGAGGAAGAATGGAGAGGCACACACTGCAAGATGCTTGAAGTCCAGTGTGAAGTTTCCACAGTCTGTGTTGATTTGGGGAGCCATGTCATCTGCTGGTGTTGGCCCACTGTGCTTCATTAAGTCCAGGGTCACCGCAGCCGTCTACCAGGAGATTTTGGAGCACTTCATGCTTCCTTACGCAGAGGAGCTTTATGGGGATGCTGACTTCATTTTCCAGCAGGACTTGGCACCGCCCACACTGCCAAAAGCACCAAAACCTGGTTCAATGACCGTGGGATTACTGTGCTTGATTGGCCAGCAAACTCGCCTGACCCATACCCCATAGAGAA